CTATGTGGTGGTTACCTGAATTTTATAAAGTTATGTAAGGTAGAAACACTTAAAACTCAATTCTGCATATAGTAAAACCAGAAATCAGCAAGTACAGCAACTTACTTTTCTTCTAATTTTTACCAGTCACAGTTAAGATGCAGTATGATTCTCATTTTGGATGTAAGGTTGCTTTTGTTTTCTTTCTCAAAGAATTGTCACTGTTATTTTATTAAGAGAAAGGAGAGCATGCATTCTTATTCTGGATATTAATTATGTTACTTGGTGAAACTATTTCCTAGATACCATTAAAAATATTTTAACAATAATTTTAGCACTAGACTATTAATAATACAAAATGTAATAATTATTCTAACAGTGAATTTGGACTTTGAATTTTGAAGAATAGTTTGTTTTGTTCTCGATGGTTATCATATGACTATCAGGTCTGATAAAATAACTAATTTCTTACTCTGAATGTTTAGTTAACTTCACTGTCCAAAGGATCAAAGAAAGCTGGTTATCAGGAGACCTTGGTATAATTGCTGCTCTGAAACTAACTAGTAGAGTAGATTGTAAGATTCATTTCTCTCTCATTTTCACTGAGGAAAGACTAGTAAGCTAGATACTTATATACTGCCCTAGACCAAGTTCTAGACTAAATGGAGGCACACTGCAATTCTCATCTATTGCAATCAATGACTCCTAAAACAGATTACTTTACTGTCTTGTGAGCTTTGCGAAGGCAGGGAGGGATTGTTGTATATATATCTAAAAAGTTTATTAATATTTTATTACAAAAATAGATGGGGCTTCAAAAATTTGGTGAGAGAATTCCATTATCTTTTAATTTTGTACGTCCACAAACTTTTGAAACCCACTTACGTATTACTCATCTGCCAATTAAATATTTTTCAGTTGTGGAATTTAATGACATCGATTATATTAATCATGCTGTGCAACCACCCTCAACAATTGTCGCCAAATTTCTCATCACCACAAACAAGCATTCACTGCTTCCTAAATAACAATTCGCTTCTCCGGCTCCCTCTAGTCCCTAAAACCAGTGATAAACGTTGTTGTTGTTAGGTGCCATCGAGTCGGTACTGACTCATGGTGACCTTATGCACAGCAGAACGAAATACTGCCCGATCCTGGGCCATCCTCACTACTGTTGCTACGCTTGAGTCCATCGACACTACCACTTGGCCAATCCACTTAATTGGGGGTCTTTCTCTTTTATTCTGACCCTCCACTTCACCAAATATGATATCCTTCTCCAGTGACTGGTCCCTCCTGACAATATGTCCGAAGTATGAGAGACGAAGTTTGGCCATTTTGGCCTCTAAGGAGCACTCTGGCTGCACTTCTTCCAAAACGGATCTATTGGTTCTTTTGGCAGTCCATGGCACTTTCAATATTTTCCTCCAACACCATAACATGGGTATCTACATATTTGTCTATTATTATTTCATATGGACTCCTGATGTGACACTGTGAGTTAATGCACTGGACTGCAATGTTGGTCTGAACTTCAAGGTTGGAGATTCAAACTCATCAGCTGACTACTTGGAAAACCAATACAGGATCAATATCAGTTATAACCTATTCGACAACACTTAACAACAACATTATTTCATATAATTGAAATCATACAATATTTTGCCCTTTTGTGATTGATTTGTTTCATTGAGCACAGGGGTTTTGTAGGCTCATTTATGTTGTAGCATAGAGTGTGTGACTAAATTTCTCTTATGGCTGAGTAGTATGCCATTACATTTATGTATCACATTTTATTTATTCATTGATGAATACCGGTTGTTTCTACCTTTTGGCTATTGTGAACAGTACTAAAATGAACATCAGAGTACGTATTCTATTCACATTACTATTTTAAAGTTTTCTGGGAATATACCTAGAGGAAGACATGCTGGGACATATGCCGCTGGTGTTGTTAAGTGCTGTGGAGTCAGCTCTGACTCAAAGCAATCCTATACAGGGTTTCCAAGGAGGAACTGGTACGTTTGACTCACCAACCTTGTGGTTACCAGTCCAGTGTTTGTCCTACAGCACCACACCATGACTCCTGGGACATATGGTAGTTTTAAACAACCCTGGAGGTATGGTTGGTTTTGCACTGGACTGCTAAACATATGGTAAGCAATTCGAATCCGCCAGCATCTCTGTGGGAGAAACATAACACTGTCTGCTTCTGTAAAGAGTTTGTTGTTGCCTCAGAAAACCCTAGGAAACAGTTCTACTCTATCCTATAAGGTCATCATGTATCAGAACTGACTCAGTTTCAGAACATTTAATGGTTCTTTGTAATTTAACTTTCTGAGGAACCACCAAACTATTTTTCAAAACAGATGTACCATTTTGCATTCCAACCAACAATGGATAAGAGTTTAATCTCTCCACATTCTTGGGAACATCTGTTATTGACCCTTTTTAATTGTTATCTTTGTAGGTGTGAAGTGATATCTCATTGTGATTTTGATTTGCATCTATCCAACCAATCTACTCATAGCTAAACTGGCAGACAAATAACTTATGAAATATAAAAGGGTTTCAAACAGTTTGTGGAAAAACATAATTAAAAGATAATGGGATTTTTCTATTGGCTTTTTGAAGCCTGCGCCTATTAAACATTTTAATTCTCCTCTGGTGTACCTCAAAAACTTAAAAACATTACAAATTTGTTTCAATCTTAACAGATTAATAAACATATTGAGACTGTTAAATTATTAGTGAGAAAGACTTAAAACATATGTCACTGTTGTTACATGCTATTGAATTGGTTCCAACTCATAACAAGCCTAAGCACACAACAAAACAAAGCCCAGTCACTGCACCACCCTCACAACTGTTACGTTTGATCCTATTGTGGTTTCCACTGTCAATCCATCTCTTCAGAGTTCTTCTTCCCTTTCAGTGATCCTCGCCTCTACCAAGTATGATGTCCTTCTACAGCGACTGATCCCTCCTGATAACTTGCCCAAAGTATAACAGACGAAGTCTCACCATCCTGGCTTCTAAGAAGCATTCTGGCTGTACTTCTTCCAAAACATATGTGTTTTTTCTTCTGGCAATATTCTTTCCTAACACTATAACTAGTTGTCAGTCCAGTGATGAGCCTACAGTGCCTTATTTTCATTGCCCAATTCTCACACGTATATGAGGCTTTTGAAAATATCAAAGTTGGTGTCAGGCGCACCTTAGTCCTCAAATTGGTATATTTGCTCTTGAACACTTTAAAGAGATCTTTTATAGCAAATTTGTCTAATGCAATGCATTGTTTCATTTCTTGATTGCTGCTTCCACGAGAGTTGATTGTGGATCCAAGCAAATGAAGACTCTGACAATTTTCCCCATTAATCATGATGTTACTTTTGTGTTTTTTTTACAGTGACGTACAATCTAAACCGAAGGTTATAGTCTTTGATATTTATGAGTATTTTAAGTCCTCTTTGCTGCCAGCCAGCAAGGTTGTATCATCTGTATACGCTGTTGTTATTAAGTGCCATTGACTTGGTTCCAACTCATAGTGACCCAATGTAGTGTTTTCCCAAAGAGAAGCTAGTGGGTTTGAACCAACACTTTGTGGATCAGTGCTTATCCTAAGTGCCATCATCTGCATACAGCAAGTTGTTAAGGAGCCTTCCTGCAATCCTGATGCCACATTCTTTATACAATCCAGATTCCCAGGTTTTTTGCTCAGCATACAGACTAAGTAAGTATGGTAAAAGGGTACAACCCAGACACACACCTTTCCTGATTTTAAACCATTCAGTATCGCCTTGTTCTATCTGAATGACTGTCTCTTGGTCTATGCACAGGTTCCTCATGAGCACATATGTTCTGGAATAACCATTCGTCACAATGTTATCCATAGTTTGCCATGATTCACACAATCAAAAGCCTTCATACATTGCTGCTGATACTGTTAAAGGCCATTGAATCAGCTCTGTATAGGGTTTCAGAGGAGCAGATGGTGAGTTTGAACCACACCTTGTGGTTAGAGGTCCAGTGCTTACCCTACAGGGCTATATCAGGTCTCCAATGTCTAATTCTAATACTGTAGGCACACCAGAAATGATAACTACCCCCTCATTTCAAACACCTAGAAATGTTAGGTAAAATACAGCAAATGCCTTCTGAAATGTACATATAACATAGAAAATAGCTTGAACTATCAGTCAAATGACCTGGTTCTACAGAGAAGAAGAGTGGAAAAAAGGGTCTGGAATCTTGAGGCAAAGCTTTTATCACTCACACAAGGAAAAGGCACAAAGAAGCTAAAGGGAGAAGCTTGAATGCACTTGGAACCCTAAATAGTCATGAAAAGATGAAGTAGAAAATAACTTGTTTTACGATTACAGTGTCAAGGAATTGTATCCATTCTGACCTGACTCTAGAGTAGGAGATGAAACAGGGCTACCAGATGATCTGTGAACCAAGTGCAAACATCACAGTCATTCGGATGGCATCCAGATCTGAATTTGAATTTATATAAGAATTCAATATAAACATTGACTTTAAGCTTAAGATATTCCTGGAGCTACCTGGCAAAAACAATCACAAGCTACTCTAGAATAAAAAATTCAAAACAAAGCAATTCATATTAGCAGTTAATACTACAAGTCTCCTTTTTATGACTTAAACCAGAACTTTCTACAACTTTCCCCTTAAAGTGTCCAAATATTTAAAAAAAATAGGCTTATACTCCAGACTACAGATTACTGGTATGGCACCACAGGATAAGTAGTGGGCTGCTAACCACAAGATAAGCAGTTCAAACCCACCAGGCACTCTTAGGAACCCCTATACAGGGTCACTACGAGTCACAATCAACTCGATGACAGCTCCAGACTATTCGTAAGGCATGTAATTAAAATTATAAAATAAAACAAATTAAATTTTTTTTCTCCATATAACAAATATGGAATCAATAACTATTATTTCAAAATGGCACATAAAGGTCATCTGATGAAAAAAAATTTTTTTAACAAATTACTTACTTCAGATCTTGTAAAAGGTCTTTTGCATTAAGCATGGTGATTAAAGAGGTGGTAGCTGCAGGAATTATGATAATGGGTGTTCGAGACCCTGTAAAGACAAAAATTTAAAGGTGGCAAATATATTATTAATTGGAATTGTAACTGCTTTCACTAACAAAAATTAAAATATTGTGAATTTGTGATTTTAAATCTTTTCAGTTAAAAATTATTTTTAACGAAGGTAATATTTAAAATATCATAAACAGTGTAGCTTGAACACTCACTGATCAGAATGGAATGGACACCAAGCACAAATATTTGATAAGGCTGCATAAGCATAGTATCACTCTGCTTTTGCGATGTAGTTTGCCCACATATACTTTCCAAAGAACATTTAGGAAGATATATCTATATGCTCACCTTTCTTCTGATTTGGGGGAGGTCTTGCTTGGGAAACTGTAAAAGAAATTTTAAAATCACAATTTTGAGTACTAGAAAAATCATACTCTTGGTTTCACACTTACAAAGCAAATACAGCATGTAATTTATATTTACATGCTATGAGTTATTAAAATACATACTGTAATCTTTTAAAATATTGTTATTTCTCTGTCCCACAAAAACACTAAAAAAATTTTCTTTTAATTATTAAATAATCTATAGTCATAAAAAAGTACATAAATTACAGTGTTAGGTACTCAGTCTCTGTGCTCATGGGTGCTAACACCTAGCATAATAAACTAAGCATAAATAACCGAAGTAATAAAAGCAAAAAAGAAGCACATAGCACAAGTAAGTAAGACTGAAGAGTAGGTGGCAGCAAGGTGCTTATCCACTCTGGGGAAAAAAGAAAGTTATTGGAAGCTAAGATGTGATATATTTCTTTGCTTCCTCCTTACTCCCTTATACTTTAAATGTTTATTAGTAGAGAAAGATAACAGTACGGGTCAAGTTTATATGAAGATCTATATTAGACTTGCTAGCATTATTAGAAATCTGGTAGCGTAGTGGTTACGAATCAGGCTGCAAACCTCAGGGACAGCAGTTCGAAACTATCAGCTGTTCCGCAGGAGAAAGATGAGGCTTTCTGCTCCCGTAAAGATTTATAGCCTCAGAAACCCTGTACGGGTCGCTAGGAGTAGGAACAGACTCCACGGGCCATAAAAACAACCACAACATTATTAGCAACTGTTAAAAAATGTAAATATCATTATCTTCTTAGACTTTGTAATGTACTAAATTATTTGTTGACATATAGCAAATACTAGCTATAATAACCAGAGTTCTGGCATAGCACTGATGGATATAGGTTGTTGTTGTTAAGTGCCAGTCGAGTCGATTCTGACCCATACCAACCCTATACAGCATTTCCAAGGAGCAGCTGGTGAGCTTGAACCGCCGACCTAGTGGACTGCTAATCGCAAAGTCAACGGTTCAAACTCACCAGCAGCTCTTCAGAAATTCCATATAGAATCACTATGAATTGGAAACAACTTCATAACAGTTAACAACAACAACAGTTATTACTAACCTACTTCAAAATGAACACAACTTAGCATAAAAATTACTACATGTTCAATTTTCAGTATTTATTCATGCAATAAAAATTTATTGACTTCCTTCTGCTGGCTGGTGATATTTTTCTTTTTTAATTACAAACTAAGTTTTGTTTAAGAGATTAAAAGATTCTTATATTTACCTTTAAAAGGAATTACACAGCACATAAACTTTTGGAATATGTTTGATTTTAAAGGTAACAAAATGCTACAATACAACTAATATTTTGTACCCATTTGTGTTGATACTTTATTATGATAAACTACTCCAGAGTCCAGTACTACTATTCTGCCAGCCACAAAATGTAGAAAGAAATACACACAAATACAAATTCACACATACATATTTATTATCGTTTTCTCAGCTTGTAGAGAAAAAAAAAATGTTAAAATTATCTAAAATCACTTAAGTTTTAGAAAGAGGACAAGGAAATGATGGTATTTCTTGGAAGGAAACGGGACAAGGTAAGTGAATAAATAGGAGACCAGAATTTATATGAGAATGATTAAAGGGAATGAGGAAAAAATGTGCATTTTGTGCTGGGTTCCCACAAATATTTTTTATAAGATATCTTTAGTTAAAAAAACAAAAAATTACTAAAATTAAAACAGGAAAATATAAGAAACAAGAAAATATAAAAACTAGCAATATTAAAAAGTTACATTTAGTTTTTTTAAAAAACTAAGTAATATATGTAGTAAACTGTTTTCTTGAAATGTAAAGAAAGTAGTGATTACATGTTGGACTGTTAACCAAAAGGTCAGCTGTTCAAACCCACCATCCGCTCTAAGGGCAAAAGGGTGTCTCCTTCCATAAAGATTCATAGTCTCTGAAACCACACAAGGAGCAGTTCTACTCTGTCCTGTATGATCGCTACTAGTCAAAAGTGATTGATGACACTACTGGGTTTAGTCGTACTATCCTGGCAAGTTGATTAAGTAGTTAGCCCTAGTCGGAAACTTTCACAAGAGTAAAAGAAAAATGCTAATCATTTCTACACCTTGATATTGCTGTACTTTAAAAAATTAGAATAATGTATATTAGCCCAGTGAACCCTGTAGCTACAGCTGCTGTTTCTGCTTCACTATCACTATCATTACTTAAGCAAATGTGCTGCTTCCAACTTACAAAAGAGTAATTATTCAAAAGAAAAATCATTACTGTTTTTATATGTTTGGTTTTAGATTAAATTCTCCACTGAAGAAATTTGTATGTTTAGTCTTTGTGCAAGGCATTCTCCTTAATTGTAAATAAAACAGTAGAAGAGCAAGATTGCAAACAAATTTTCACACAAGTAAATATATAAATATGCTAATTTGAATATGTCATTAAGGGAACAAAGGAGTACAGTGAAGAAGTATTCTTTAAATAGGATCCCTAGGAAAAGCTTCTCAAAAGTGAAATTTAAGCTGAGATTTGAAGGATGAAAAGGAGTTAAGTTCCAAAGAGTAAATGGACAAAGAGTCCAGACAGTGGTAGGAATGTGGGCAAATGTCAAATACATGAAAGAACCTCCTGTGCTTATGGAATTGAAATAAGACAAATGTGCAGACCAGAGAGAAGAAAGAGAAGAGTGGCAGGAGATTAAAGTAAAAATATAAGCAAGAATCCAATAGGGCCTTTTGAACAATGTTAAGTTTGTATTAAGTTGTCTTTTAAAAGTCCCTGAAAGATATAAGACAGAAAATGACATGATTTAAATTTCACATCAATCTAAAATGTTTAGAAAAAAGGGGAGCAGGGGCAATATACAAAAAACAATTAATACATAAAATGAATAGCTGATATCAATATGCACTGACAAAGATAAATCTTTTTAGATACTAGAAAGAAGGGAGAAAAAAGCTTTAAAATTTTCAAGACTACTATTGGTAGTGGTGGTGGTAGTGTGCAGCGAAGTCAGTTCTGACTCATAGCTATCCTGTATAGGGTTTCCAAGGCTGCAAATCTTTACAGGAGCAGAAAGCCTCATCTTTCTCTCACAGAACAGCTGGTAGTTTCAAACTGTTGACCCTGAGGTTAGCAGCCCAACTTGTAACCACTACGCTACCAGAGCTCCTTCAAGACAACTATTACTTAAGATAAATTTTAAAGAACCATTACAGAACATTATGGACACAATAACAGAGACATATGTCATTATAAGCACTAAAGGTTGTACATTAAGCTAAAGAAGTCATTAAAAGTTGCTTAAAAGAACAGTGGTAGATAATCTATTTTACCAATGACCTTTGGGTCAAATTTGGGAAAATATTTAAGAATAACATACAACATGTTGTTGTAGTTGTTAAGTGCCATCTAGTCAATTCTGACTCATAGCGACTATACAGAGGGTTTCCAAGGAATAGATGGTAGGTTCAAACTTTTGACCTTGTGGTTCACTGTCCATTGCTGATTCTACAGCACTATACCATAAGTTTGGATAATATACTACTACCAAGCTCATATTGAAAGTACCATGGGCTGCCAAAAGAACCAACAGATCTGTGTTGGAAGAAGTGTAGCCAGAGTGCTCCTTGATGGCCAGATGGCCAAGCTTAATCTCATACTTCAGACATATTGTCAGGAGGGACCAGTTGCTGGAAAAGGATATCATGTTTGGTAGAGTGGAGGGTCAGAGAAAAAGAGGAAGACCCCCAATAAGATGGATTGGCCAAGTAGCAGCATCAAAGGACTCAAGCGTGACAACAGTAGTGAGAATGGCTCAGGATCAGGCAGTGTTTCGTTCTGCTGTGCATAAGGTTGCTAAGAGTCAGTACTGACTCGATGGCATCTAACAACAACCAAGCTCATCAGCTGCTCCTCAGAAACCATATACAGGGTTGCTACAGGTCAGAACTGATTCTATGGCACTTAACAATAACAACAACTACTACCTAAATCATGAAGTCCTGGTGTGGTTAATGTGCTGGACTGCAAAGTTAGTTTGAACCACAAGATTGGCAGTTCAACCTTACCAGTCACTTCTCAGAAAACCCTATACAGGGTCAGGCATTTAACTACAACAACAACTACCTAACTAAATCCAGTAGAGCTGTTTAAATAATGTTGGAACTGATTCGACGGCAATTAACAACATTGTATTTTACATAAAATGTCGTTTTCTTCGAGCATTGATCATACTAACACATCTTGGTTACTGTGTTCATTAGGGAAAACAAAACCAGAGTTTTGTATTTTTACCTGGTCTTGGTACTGGCTGGGTTGCAGGAGTCTGAGTCTTACGGGCAGATGCACCCTCCTTTAAAAGAATAACAATCAATAATATCAAAATCCCTTTACATAACAGTCAAATGCTTCAATTACTGTAGGGAAAAAAAGTCCTTATCACTTTGTCTCTCATTCACTTAATCACTCCAAGGATTGTGCAGTGACACTGAATTACCCCCCCCCCCAAAAAAAAAAAAAAAATGCTAAAGAGGATAGAGAGAAACACTGTTAACTGATGATATATGGAGGGGATAATAATCAATGTAATGACAGCTGCCATTTGTCCCTCCTTTGTCTATTTGGCCTTTTTATACCCAGCTGAAATCTGTATGGTTAAAAAAAAAAAAAAAATTCTCCTTATCTTTTTCATTATTAGTCATGAGGTAGTAGTAGGGTCTTAAATTAAACTTAAATCGTTACCACAGAGTAGTTACTGGAAGCATGTAATAATTTTCAAGTACTTAGCTAACTACTTAATTACTGACAATTTTAATATTGAATTTACCAGTTTTAAAATCAAGTCAATGTTTTTTCCTCTAAACAGTTTCAAAATGAATTAATGATAAGCTCATTAGAAAAATGTAAACAATTTTATTTTGAAGGATGCAAAAAAAAATTCAAATAATTCTTATAAGATATTCATAAAAAATCATTTATAAAGATGAGATTTGTTAAATATGATTTAAGGCAGATGGGATATTTTAAAAGCTGAATAACAAATCTCAACTAATTACTGAGCATGTAATATGTACAAGAAAATATGCTAGATGCTGAAGTATATAAATTTATAAACTAAAGAGCAGATGCATCTGAAGTACTTAAGATACTTAAAAAGTCTGTTTTTAGTGCAATAGTTTCAATAACACATCGACTATTCATAAAACACTTTCTTTATAGAAAGATGCAAATACAAATTTCTTAACTATCATGACCTGGAGTGGCGCTGTAAGATAAACACTAGACTGCTAACCACAATACTGGCAATACAAACCCACCAGGCTGCTCCTCAGAAACCATATACAGGGTTGCTATAAGTTGAAACAGACTTGATAGCACTTACTGACAACAACATATAGTTCATGGAGATTTTATTCAAGTGATATCCAAAGAATGAAATACAACATATCAGATGAATTACACGAATCCAAAAATGAAAATCAACATTAGAATCATAAAAAAAAAAAAAAAATTTGGATACAGCGCAAAAGCCAGAGTAATCTGTGGAAAAATAGGTGTGATGGCTTTTAAATTTTTCTTTCTTCCTCTCCCGTGTCATACCCTCTCTGCCTAGCCTGGGCAACTTCAGGAGGGTGGCAGCAAATCCCCAAAAAGGTCCAGTTTGGGGCCCACAGGGAGCAATTTTTCCAAGGCACAAAGAGGAAATCCTTGAAAGCCCCAGTGGTTCCAGCTAATCCTTTGGCAGCTTCGTATGACATCTGACTCTGAGACTTAGCCCTACAGTTGCTCTCTACTTGGACAGGAGCCTTTATTCTCACCTTACCAGAGACAGCAGGTATGGCTATAGAGACAAACTGTATTTGCACCTTGTAAAATCCCAACATTATAGGCAAAAGCCAACTACTATATACAAAGTGGCAGTCATTTTGAGAATTACACTGTGCATACACAGTTACATAACTGATTTTCAGAGATAAATATTGTGAACAATCTTTCTTACAATCATTTCTCAATCTCTATCTGCGCACCTCCAGGGCAGTGAGTCGAGGGGAGGCCTGAGCAAGTGGACACCCCCACCCACCGCTGGAAGTCTCTACTGTACATGCACACTGACCTACAGAGCAAAGTCTACTGGACAGTCTGCTATGGTTGTTTTTGTGTGCTTGTTTTTGTTTTTTATTTTATTTTTGGTCCGTTTGGCCTTATTTCTTCCTGGGCTGGGGGCTTTCTTATACTACATTACCCAGGAAGAAACAGCAATCGTGGCCATATAGCCAAGCTACAAGCATACCCCATAGTATCCCACCATCGAAAAAGGAGCCAATACCAGCTGCTACACCACAGATAGCCAACACTTGCTAAGATTGTTCATAGCTGAGTAGTAAGAGACGTGAAAAGAGAAGCCTGTTTCCAAATCACATCCAGCAGGAGACACTCAGTAAGCTTAACAATACATCAACATACATTCAGTTAATCATAAAAGACACATCTAACTATTGAAAATGTCCAAGAAGAAAACAACAAAATATCTCAGCACATGTACAGAAGCAGAAAAGTGTAACAGAAAAAAATGAGCTGGAGGCAGACATAGACTTCCCATTAGAAGACGAGTAGGCTTTGACTGAGAAGGAAGCTGAAAGAACCTCAGGAAGGATGGACCCCAAAAGAAAATCACCAAGACATTTCATAATCAAGCTTTCCAAAATCAAAGGCGAGAATCCTAAGAGCAGCCAAAGAAAAGAGAACTGTTACTTACAAAGGCAAACAAATCAGATTAAGGCTCTGACCTCTCAACAGGAACCATGCAGGCAAGAAAATAATGGGGAAACATATATAAAAGCCTTAAAAAAAAAAAAAATGCCAACCAAGAATCTTCTACCTAGCAAAGTTGTCAATCAAACACAATGGTGCAATCAAAATATTCCAGGATAAATAAAAGCTAAGACACTTTGTCAAAGCCAACCCAGTGATCAAAACATCCTAAATGGAGTGATTTGTACTGAAAACCAAAAACAGACAACAACCACAGATTGACGGATGTGGCAACACCATCCAGAGCTCAGTCCGCAGATAGCAGAGTCCAGAACAGAACAAAATTACAAAAACAAATTCAGAAGACCTGGGAGGTCAATCAAAGATCAAAAAATAACAATGTTAACAAAGGGAAACATATAGAACAGAGATCCAGGTGGTGAAGAGGTAAGGTAGATTGCAGGACACATAGACTATCTCAAATGGAGAGAAAAGATAGTAGATTATACGGTAACCTCAACAAAAGTTAATACTTAACAAAATACCGTGAAAATGAAGATCCAAGTAGAACACGCAAACATTAAAATTAAGCGAAAACTGACAAGAAATAGCATAAAAAAGGAGAACAAACAAGATGGTGGTAAAAGTGCAGTGAAGAGCTCCGTTAGCAACAACACAGAATACCAGACCACGGAGGCTCAGCGGATGGTTCCATGACTCTGAACCACATATAAAGGAATATTTAGATAGCTGGAAGGTTTACAGCCAGTGTAAACTATAGCAGAAGCAAGAAATTCAGTGCTTTCTAATCCAAAATGCTCAGGTGCTCAACTGAGGGGCCATCTTGGGGAAGAACAAACTGGGGAAGATCCAGAGCAGCCACGGACGCCTGACGAAACCACAGAGATAAAGGTGTGGAAACCCTTATTTTTTGTATCTGTTTATTTGTCTCTGGCTGACTATGCACTTCCATTCTGGTGACTAGAGCAGGCGCCCGAATGAGTGGACACCCCTCCTCCACTCTGAAGGGTTCTATTACGCATGTGCAAAGAGCTCCACAAAATTTAAAGAGACAGTTTCCACTTAATATCAAATGGCAGCACAAAACAGCCACAGTTGGCCCTGAACTGTTTATCACTAGGAAAAAGGCCTAAGCAGGGGTTGTGGAGCAGGACACGCACACTAAAAAGGAAACCGGCCAAAAATTAGATCCTGAATTACATCATAACAACCAAGAGTGGCATCCTGAAATTTCTCAGAACAAGAGTGAAAAGGGAAGTCCATCTCCCGATCTCATCTACCTGGAGGCAATCAGAAAGCATTAAAAAAAAAAAAAAACTACCAAAACACACAACCATCTAAGTATTAAGGCAAAAGATAACCCCTGAAGATGCCCAAAAAAACAGAAAGAGATGACCATATTAGCACATGTCCAGAAAAGAGATAAAGTGACTGAAACAAATGAGCTAGAGGTAGACCTACACTCCATCCTGAAAGGAGGGCAGGCTTTGGAAATTCCTGAGAAGGAATTCATAAAAAATGATTATAAAATATATCAAAACACTTTACAATGGAGTTGACAAAAATACAGAATAAGTCAGGAAAGCACTACAGGAAGAAACATGTAAGATAGATACAGCATTGGAAACAATTCAAAACCTACACAAAGAGGTCCAAGCATTCAATAATAGAGTATCAGAAATAGACAATACACTGAAAGGGCAAAGGAGTAGAACAGATGAGATGGAGGCCAGAACTAGTGAGTTGGGAAACAAGTCTATCAATACCACCAAGATAGAAGAGCAAACAGAAAAAAGGATAAAAAAATCTGAAGAAGGTCTAAAATTCATGATGGACAACATGAAGAGACATTAACATCAGAATTATCGGCATTCCAGAACAAGAAGAATCACACAAGTCCACAGAGGAAATAGTTGAAGAATTGCTGGAAGAAAATTTTTCTAACATCCTGAAAACTAAAAAGATAAGCATTCAAGAATCTCAACAAATCCCAGAAAGGGCAGATCCCAAAAGAAAATCACCAAGACATATCAAAAGCAAACTCTCCAAAATGAAAGAAAAGGAGACACTCAGAAAGCAGCTAGGGAAAACAGAAGTGTCGCATACAAAGGCAAGCAAGTCAGATTAAGCTTGGATGTCTCAGCAGAAACCATAAAAGCAAGAAGGCCAATGGGGAAGACATATATGAAACCCTGTAAGAAATAAACTGCCAACCAAGAATTCTTTATCCAACAAAGCTTTCAATCAATTATGACAGTACAAGCAAAACAATCCAGGATAAACAGAAGCTAACGGATTTTTCCAAAGCCAAAAGGGAGTTCTGTGGACTGAGAACCAACAAAAACCAGAGATTGACATATGTGGCAGCACCTCCCAGAATTAAAACGACTGAACGAAGAGCCTAGAACAGAGGAAACTATAAGAATAAACTCAAGAGAATTTGGGAGGTCAGTCTATTATCAAAACAATTACAATGTAAAAGAAGGTAAACACAAAGGAACAGATGTTGAGAAGGTCAGGTAGATTACAGGATAAAACAGACTGCAAGAAATGGACAGAAAAGTTAATAGACTATAAGGC